TTTGTAGGAATTTTATCTTACTCATTTTTATATCTTGACCTTTAACATGATGCCTGGCACATAATAAGTAGACAGCAAATGTGTACTTACCTAATGAATAATAATGATCTGTTCTGTAGATCTAGAGGTACAACATACTAGGGAAGTGAGAGGAATATAGCATCTAGTATGTGCTGAGCACTATGGTAGGTCCTATGCCTAAAGGATCCTATTTGATATTTGCATCATATCTGATGGGGATCACATTTTACAGATTAGAAGCTGAAGAAGATCAGATATTTAGTAAGTCCTTAAGACCACTCATCTACTAAGTAGAGAAGAATACATTCAATGTTTCTGTTTTTTCTCACTATACTGTGTTGTTAGAAATTTAATGTACAGATTTGGTGGGCTTTACAAAAAGAGTTGAGAAGAAATGTTAGTTTTCATTTTTTATAATACCAGATCACTAAAGCCAACATATAAGACAAATCTGAAGCCATTTCCTAAAATCTCTGTTTTCCTAATTAATCTTTACCTCATGTTCACAAACTTTTCCCAACAGCCTGTTGCACATTAGCCATGGAAATGTGATGCTGCAATTTTAGAGTATCTAATACTATTTCTAGAGAGAAAAGGCCCTTTCTGTGCCTTAAGCCATTTCATCTTTCTGTCTTCCCTATTCTGTTAATGCTACCATCGTCTCCTAACCATTCTAGCAAAAAATTATAGTAGTTTTGACTTCTCCTATGCCTTGCTTTCTACATCTAATTTCTTAGCAAGCCCAGCAGGTGCTTTTTCCTCCATCCATTTTCTTTCTGATCACTATATTTTCATGCTTCCTCCAGCCCTCTTGCCTGGATTGTCACAAAAGCTTCCTAACTGGCTTCCTTATTGTCAGATCTGTCAGTGCCTGCCTTCCCAGTCATCATATTCATCTTTCCAGAGTAATTTTTCTAAAACATAATAGCTGTCACCAGCTTATTATCCACTGAATCAAATCTAAACTCTTTAGCCCTAGATTAAAACTGTTCATGGTGCCTCTTCAACAGCTGTTGTTGGCAAAACTGGACAGCTACATGTAAGAGAATGAAACTGGATCATTCTCTAACCCCATATACGAAAGTAAATTCAAAATGGAACAAAGACCTGAATGTAAGTCATGAAACCATAAAACTCTTAGAAGAAAACATAGGCAAAAATCTCTTGTACATAAACACGAGCGACTTCTTCATGAACATATCTCCCCGGGCAAGGGAAATAAAAGCAAAAATGAACAAGTGGGAGTATATGAAGCTGAAAAGCTTCCATACAGCAAAGGACCCCATCAATAGAACAAAAAGGCATCCTACAGTATGGGAGAATGTATTCATAAATGACAGGTCCAATAAAGGATTGACATCCAAAATATATAAAGAGCTCACGCACCTCAGCAAACAAAAAGCAAATAATCCAATTAAAATATGGGCAGACGATCTGAACAGACAGTTCTCCAAAGAAGAAATTCAGATGGCCAACAGACACATGAAAAGATGCTCCAAATCTTTAATCATCAGAGAAATGCAAATGAAAACCACAATGAGATATCACCTCACACCGGTTAGAATGGCCACCATCCAAAAGACAAACAACAACAAATGTTGGTGAGGATATGGAAAAAGGGGAACCCTCCTACACTGCTGGTGGGAATGTAAATTAGTTCAACCATTGTGGAAAGCAGTATGGAGGTTCCTCAAAAAGCTCAAAATAGAAATACCATTTGACCCAGTAATTCCACTTCTAGGAATTTACCCTAAGAATGCAGCAGCCCGGTTTGAAAAAGACAGATGCACCCCTATGTTTATCGCAGCACTATTTACAATAGCCAAGAATTGGAAGCAACCTAAGTGTCCATCAGTAGATGAATGGATAAAGAAGATGTGGTACATATACACAATGGAATATTATTCAGTCATAAGAAGAAAACAAATCCTACCATTTGCAACAACATGGATGGTGCTAGAGGGTATTAAGCTCAGTGAAATAAGCCAGGCGGAAAAGACAAGTATCAAATGATTTCACTCACCTGTGGAGTATAAGAACAAAGCAAAACTGAAGGAACAAAACAACAGCAGACTCACAGAACCCAAGAATGGACTAACAGTTACCAAAGAGAAAGGGACTGGGGAAGATGGGTGGGAAGGGAGGGATAAGGGGGAAAAAAACTATTAGCAGACATAATGGAGGGGGGGCATGGGGAGGGCTTACAACACAGAGAAGACAAATAGTGATTCTATAGCATCTTACTATGCTGATGGACAGCGACTATAATGGGGTATATTAAGGGGACTTGGTGATGGGGGGAGTCTAGTAAAAATAATGTTCTTCATGTAATTGTAGATTTATGACACACAAAAAAAAATTGTTCATTATATAACCCTGACCTACTTCTCTGATGTTATCAGTCAGTGGTCTACTATGTAAGTGTTGGAAAGTAGTGAAGGGAGGTCAAGGATCTCAAGATAGGGAAACTGGACTATTCTTTGTTCTTGGAATAAATTGAGATCCCTTATGTGTGCATGTATTGGACTATGCTTGGCCATGTCCAAGGGTTGTTCAATTACCTCCTTCCCTGATGACTGCTAACAAATATTTCACTATTAGATTCACATTCATCCTGTGAAATAGTACATTAATTGTTTGAGGGAGGGGATTCTTTCTTTTTACCCCTTTTTTTGAGCCTCTGGCTACTAGGTGCTAGATATTCTGAAAGGATATTCTAAAAGTGGAAGACAAAGATAAAAAGGATTGGCCTTAAGTAGATCCACCATCATCTTTCATCGATTCAATGTCAAATGACATATCCAAGGAACAAAAAACATATCCCTATCTTCATGGAACTTATATTCTAGTGTGGGGAAATTGATAATTAAAACATTTTATATACTAAATCTTATATATAATACATATGGAATGATATGTGCTGTGGAAAAATTAAAATTAAAGAGATAGTGAATTTGGCAGGGATGAGGGTGGAGTGGGTAGTAATTTTAAATATTACAGCTAGGAAAGGCCTCCCTGAAAAGGTGTCATTTGTGTAAAGACCTGAAGGAGAGGAAAGATGGAGTAAGTTACTGGAATGTCCAGGGGAAAACAGTATAAGCAGAAAGAACAGAATGTGCAAGGGTCCTGTGGGGAGCATGCTTGGTGTTTACGAGGAACAAAAATGTGAGTGTGACTGAATGGAGCCCTAGGGGTTGAGTTCAGAGGCATAATAGGAAACCAGTAGACCATTTTAAGAATTTCTTTAAGCGATGTTGGAAGGCATTGAAGAGTTTTGGGATAAGGAGTAAGATTTGTTTAGGTTTTAAAGGATTGCTTTGGCTGCCATGTTGAGAATAGATAGTGGGGGGCTAGATAAAGCCGGGAGGCTAATTAGAAAGTTACTCAAGGTTTCTGGACTAAGGTTAGAGTTGCTACTTAATAAAATGAGGGAAGACTTCAGGAGTAGCATGATTTTGAGGGAAGATGAGAAATTTAGTTTTGGAAATGATAAATAGGTGCCAATTAGACATATAGGTGAAGATGTAGGAAATATGAACCAATAGTGTTGGGGAATGTGTGGGAAGGGCTGGAGACTGGGAGTCATCAGCATAAAGATGGTATTTAAAACCATGAAGTTACATGAGATCTCTGAGAGTGAGTGTCATTATAGAAGAGACCCACAGGCTGAACCCTGTGACACTATAACATCTGTGGGTTGGATGTAATATCTGTAGACTGAGTAGATAGAGAATTTCTAATTGGATGTTTGAAAACTAAACTTGCCAATTATCATTTATATCAACTTTCCATCCAGGATTGAGTTTTGGAGTTGGGGGTCATTAAGTGTTAAATTAAACTTGTAAGGTGCATCTCACTGAGAATGGAAATGGGTGAGACAAGTTCCACTCCAGCCTACAGAACAGACGGAAAATACTTGTTAGCACTAGAAACTGAGCAGTTTTACTCATATTAAAATGTAGACATTTTTCTTTTGCTGTTACATAAAAAAACTTGGGAAGCTTTTTCTTTTATTGTGGTAAAATATATTTCAAATAAAAATGTACCGTTTAAACGATTTTTTTTAAGTGTACAATTTGGTAGCCATCAATTACATTCACAATGTCGTGCAACCATCCCCACTTTCAGGAGATTTTGATTCTTCACATTAGACAGATAAAATATAAATAGTGATATTATTATATGGGTCTGTATATTTTGGTGAAAAATAAACTTTAAATCTGGACTCAGCATTAGTGACTAAATGTGGCTAGAAAAACCTTGCAGAGGCATATTCATAGAAAGAGAAGGAGGAGATCAGTATCAGTAATAGGGAATGTTGAAATAAGTACTGAGGAAAATTATAATAGGTAATTTCTGAAAGACAGCATACAAGTTCAGAACAACTTTGGTCACAATAAGAGTTTAGGGCAGAAACTTGTGGCTGGTCAGGAGTAAAGATTGGTGGAATTTCAGAGCTAAGCAGAAGGCAGATTCAGAAAGGCTTATCAAAGTATAAGTATTTGTTTAATTCATAGGGCCCCAAAGAAAGAATCTGCTTTATCTTTATTTCTTTGGCAGAGGAGGTAAGAGGCAGAGTGGAAGCTTAGAGGGGTGGGGAGGACAGAAACCGAGATTCAGGGAGTTGTGAGATTTGGAGGGAGATGGTGCAATTTCCAGGTTCCTGAAGAGACTCAAGAACCAAAGGTTGGTTCTGGAGGTCAGAGACAACCAGATAGGCAGTTACAGGTCAGTGGTCAATACCAGCCAATGCACGGAACAGAGCTTTCTGAGGCGGTGGGTTTTGGAGGGATTTGGTGGGTTTCCCTAGGGCCACGCGTCCCATTTTCCGTCTGAGCAGAAGGGCCTGGAAAGCGAAGCGGGGGTGCGAGGACGTGGGGTGAGGGGTGCAGGGTGAGAGGAGGTGACGCGACCGGGTGACGCCCCCTCTGCCCGACCCAGGCCCCGCCCCTGGCGGACGCCATCAGTCCGCGCCGCACCGCCGGGTGTTACTCCGCCCCGCCCGCGCGGCGGTAGGTGCTCTGTCACCTCCCGGTCTGGCTATGGCCCCGGCCCGTGGTTTGTGAATCAGCCAGCAAAGCTCCCGGCGCAGCCCTTGTCCTGATGGCGGCGGCAGCGGCGGCCCTAGCAGCCGCCGATCCCCCTCCCGCTATGTCGCAGGCGGCCGGAGCCGGAGGGACCACTGCCCGCCGAGACTTCTACTGGCTGCGCTCCTTCCTGGCCGGAGGTGGGTGTTCGCGGACAGGAGCCAGCTGCGCCGGGCTGGCAGGGGCAGAATCCCTGGAAGGTCGGGTGCATGTGGCCGCAATGACATTCCTGGACTCCGGTTGCTTCAGTGCCCTGCCACATGTTTACCCTGACCTCCTGTAGCCACTTTCTAATAATCACTTGACTAGTGACAGCAGGATTCTGGGGAGGAAGGGCCTCAGGTATGGGGAGCGGGTGGGGAGGTACAAGAGCTGACCAACCACCCATTCATTCTTCAAGGTTGGGTAGCAGAGAAAGAGAGTCCCTTACAGAGACCCCAGGGTTTCAGTGAAACATTCTGGGCTCCCTTTTCTTTTCTTTCTTTATTTATTGAAGTATAGTTGATATACAATCTTATATTAGTTTTAGTATACAACACATTGGTTCAACAATTACCCATATTATTAAATCCTCACCCCTACTAGTACAGCTACTATCTGTCAACATAGGAAAATGTTACAGAATCATTGGCTATATTCTCCACGCTGTACTACTATCTACGTGACTAGCCTACATTATGATTGAGAATTTTTGTGTCCCTTTATCCCCCTCAACTGCCCCATCCATCCACCCAAATCCCTCTCCCATGGTAACCACCAGTCATTTCTCAGTGTCTATGAGTCTACTGCTGTTTTGTTCTTTGTTTTGCTTTGTATTTATATTTCACAAATAAGAGAAATCATATGCTATTTGTCTTTCTCCTCCTGACTTATTTCACTGGGCATTATACACTCTAGATCCATCTATGTTGTTGCAAATAGCAGGAACTTTTTTATGGCTGAATAATATTCCATGTTGTATAAGTACATCTTCTTTATCCACTCATCTACTGATGGGCTCTTAAATTGCTTCCATATCTTGGCTATTGTAGATAGTGCTGCAATAAACATAGGGCGCACCCCTTTCTTTTATAAAGACAATAGGTGACCAAGTGTAGAATTGGATTTTGCTGTTTGCTTGAAGGAAACAAATATTGGAGGTCAGCTTTTTAATGATGACTGGGATATTGTGCAAAACTGTCCACAACCAAAGCTAGTTCCAGTGATTCTAGTAAACTGTGCCACAGCTACCTGACAGGTAACTGGTATGGCCCTACTATTGGTATGACAGCAAAGCCAGAAGATTTATATTATCTCTCAGAAATTTCCTCTGCCTTCCCCTAAAGAGGTTTTTCAATCCCTGCCCTCTCTTAATTGATTGTCTGGGTTGTCATCACTTAATTGTTTAGGCTGGGAATGTTTAAAATCCCACATTATGAGGACTTGTAGAAAGATAATTATCTATAGGCTGCAGTACTATTAAGAATTTAATTATTTTGTTCTCCTGCTGATAAAAAGGACATTCATTCATTTATACAAGGAACGTTTGAGTGCCAGGTATGTGCCTGCTTCATGCTCAGTATTCATCAAGGAATAAAACAAAGATCCTGGAGCTTACATTGATTGGGAAGTTGTAGGGAGAAAGACAACAAAATGAGAAAGTGAGTTATAGAATATGTTAAAAGGTGATGAATGCAATAGGAAGTAAAAAGAAAAGGGGGCAAAGAAATGGAGAGTCTGAGTGGGGCAGTGTTAAATATGATAGTTGTGATACATCTTATTAAGAGAATAACACTTGAGCAGACTTGAAGAAGTGGAAGAGTTTAGCAGAATAAAGAGGAGTATTTCAGGAGGAGAGAAAAGCTAAAGCAAAGGCTTCAAAGCAGGAGTGTGTCTGTCTGTTCAAAACACAACAGTAAGACCTGTGTGGCTGGAGCCAAGTGGTGATGGGGAAAGAGGTTGGAGAGAGAAAGTGGAGAGGGTGGGAGGGCAGAAAATAAAGGGCCTTGTAAATCATTGTAAAGATTCTGATTTTATCTTGGAGTGAAGTAGAGAGCCACTGCAGGTTTTGAGCAGAGAAGTGACATGATATATGTTTCAGAAGGATCACTTTGGCTGCTCTGTTGTGAATAACTCTAGGAGTGTAAATATGGAAGAAAGGAAACCAGTTTGTAGGTTATTGCAGTAATTCAGATGGTGGCTTGGATCAGGGCAATAACAGAGAGTGGTGAAAAATTGTGGTAATCTTGATGTAGATAGAACAAAGAGGTTTTTCTGACATAATAAAGACGGGATAAGACGAGATGACTCATTTTGGTCTGAGCACCTGAAGAGATGAAGCTCTCATTGACTGAATTGGGAAGGCTGTAGTTGGAGCAACTTTCATGAAGGTTGTTGGGGGAGATCAGAAGTTTAGTTCTGGTCACCTTATATTTTGTGATGTTGACAAGACACTGAGATAGAGTCAGGTTAAGTGTAGGCATGGATAGCAGCCAGGACTTTCCTGTGCTTCTGGTAGTAATGTAAATTGGAACTGTCGCTTTGGAAAAATGGCTGGGCAGTTATCTATGAAGCTGAACATTTGTATGCTGTTGGATTCAGCAGTTCCACTCCTAAGCATTTACCAACATATATCTATTTCTGTTTCATGTCTGCGATATTCATAATAGCTCCAAACCAAAAGAACCCATGTGGCCATGAGTGCTAGAATATATAATTAAAATATGGTATAATGATACAGTGAAATATTATGCAGCACTGAGAATGAATAATTTCTACTACATGCAACAGTGTAGGTGAATCTCACAAGTATAATATTGAACAGAAAAAGCCAGACATAAGCAATGCCTATTGTGAGATTTTATTTATTTATTTACTTACTTATTATTAAGGTATCATTGATGTACAATCTTATGAAGGTTTCACATGAGCAACATGTGGTTAGTACATTCACCCATATTATCAAGTCCCCACCACACCGCATTGCAGTCACTGCCCATCAGCATAGGAAAATGCTATAAAGTCACTACTTGTCTTCTTTGTTATGCTGCCTTCCCCATGACCTCCCTACATTATGTGTGTTAATCATAATACCCTTTAATCTCCTTCTTCCTCCGTCCCCACCCTCCCTCCCCATCTCCTTCCCTTTGGTAATGGCTAGTCTCTTCTTGGAGTCTGTGAGTCTGATGCTGTTTTGTTCCTTCAGTTTTGCTTTGTTGTTATACTCCACAGATGAGTGAAATCACTTGCATACCATGAGATTTTATATGTATAAAGTGCAAATACAGTCAGAACTAAATCCATGTTGTTAGAAGTCAGAATACTGATTCATTGTTTCTGAGGAAGGACAAATAGTAATGTTGATGGTACAGAAGAAGGACTTACAGGCGGCCAGTAATGTTACATTTCTTGATTTCTGTGGTCCTTATGTCCATTTATTCACCTTGCAGATATTCAGTAAGAGATATACTTAGGATTTCTACTTTTCTCTATGTGTCTTATACTTTATTACACAAAATCTGTTAAAAGGAGGAAAGATATTGGAGACAGCAAATATAGGAAACTCTAAAAAGGAATCTTGATTAGGCTGTTTGTTTTTTAGAAGCTTGTATAGTATTTTGCATAGTTTCTTGTCTTAAAATCAGGTTTATTAAGTTATAATTTATGTAAAGTAAAACTCACTCTTTTTTGATATATAGTTGAGTTTTTTTTTAATTGAAGCGAATGAGTTTTGGCAAACATGTTGTATAATGTATAATCACAGTCAAGACATAGAATAGTTCCATCATCTCCAATTATTTCCATTTCCCTTAGTAGTCATTCCTTGCCTCTCATCCCTAGTAATGGCATTGTAAATGTACTCATACAATATGTGTTATCCTTCATTTAGCACTACATTTAGAAATCATTCAGGTTGAATATACCAGGAGTGTGTTCCTTTTTGTTACTGAGTAGTTTTCCATTGCATGAATTTATCAGTTTCATCTATTGTGATGAGTTTCATCTATTGATAAAAATTTGCTTTGTTTTCTGGTTTTTGGCTATTTGTTGGGGGAGAAATTTTGTACAAATTTTTGTGTAGGTATGTGTTTTTTTGCCTTGGGCAAATACTAGGAATGGGGCTGCTGGATCTTAAAGAGTGTTGTATGTTTACTTCATAAGAAATAGCCAAACTGTTTTCTAAGTCTGTTCCATTTTATATCCCCACTATTTTGTCAGCAGTTGGTATTATCAGGTTCGTGTCCTCTGTGTGTGTTGTTTTCCATAAAGGTGTGCAATGATGTTTGATTGCAGTTTTAATTGCATCTACCTGATGTCTAATGATGCCGAGCATCTTTTCATATTCTTATTGGCCATAGTGTCTCTGTGGTAAAGTGCTGCTTCAGATTTTTTGGAAGTACATATAACTTTGACAATTGTATAGGAGTTCCTGGTTCAAGTGATATGAAAAAAAAACCCATTGGACAAGTTGCTTAATCTCCCAGTGTCTCAATTTCCCCATCCTTTAAATGGGAAAATAAAAGTACCCACTTTAGAAGGTTGTAATGATTGATGAGATAGTACAGTTGACCCTCAAACAACAAGGGTTTGAACTGTGTGGTTTTTAAAAATGAATATATTGGAAATTTTTTTAGATATTTTGCCACAATTTGGAAAAATATTTACTTTTCTCTAGCTTAGTTTATTGTAAGAATACAATATGTAATACATATAACAAAATATATGTTAGTCAGCTGCTGGTATTATTGGTAGGGCTTCAAGTTAATTGTAGGCTATTACATTGGGAAGTTAAGTTTTTGAGGAGTCAAGAGTTATATGTAGATTTTTCACTGAATCGGGGGGGGGGGTCAGCACCTCTAACCCTGACATTGTTCAAGGTTCAACTGTACCTGTAAAAGCTTTGGCATGGTGCCCTCAGTTAAATCTGTTAGCCTAGTACCTGGTGCAAAGTAAAAACACTCAGTACTTGTTAACTATTGTTTTTGATTAAGTGGCCTTGGGTGAATTTTTTTAGCTTCAATTGTTCAAAGGAAGATAAAAGTTGCTTGACCTAACTCAATTGACTGTTGTGATGATCAAGTATTGTGGTAAGCAAATTAAGATACTATTAAAAGAAACTATTTATTGAACACATTCTAAATAATTCCACTATATGGTTAATTTGTAATGACTGAGATGATAATAATATAACAAAATATTCTTAAACCAAATATATTGAAATAAAAATTATTTTTAGCTTATCCGAAATTTTGGTTAGCCATGAGTGTTATTTCCATTAGTTCAGATAAGATAAGCTTGATAGAGAAAGTTTGATGTGGATTTAATATTTGAATACAAATAGATATTTTATTTTTGGACATCTCAGATTCTGGATTTTAACATCAGCTATATGCTGAGCTGTTAAGTAAATGTGTGTTAGCTTTGAGTGATTTTTGTCTTACATTTTAAAAAAGTTTGTATAGTAAGACTCTGTGTTCATTCATTCAGTAAACATTTATTGAGTGTCTATTATGTGCCAGGCCCTGTACTGGTCTCTGGGGTGCAGTAAAAGGAGACCCACAAAATCCCAATTCTCTTATTCCTTTCAGATTGAATATGCAATGGTGAAGAGCTTAAGTAATCATGAAAAGACACCAAAGACTTTTTACCCACCTTTTCATAATAGAAGCAACTGATTTTATCAGGTGCTTATATGTAAGGTACTTTACAAAAATTTCTTAGTTCATTTGGGCTGCTATAACAAAAATGCCATAATCTGGATGGCTTATAAACAACATTTCTTTCTTTTTTTTTTTTTCCACCAACCTGGAAGCTCCAAACATTTATTTCATATAGTTCTGGAAACTGGGACGTCTAGATCATGGTGCCAGCAGGTTTGGTGTCTGGTGAGGGCTTGTGTCCTTATTATGGAACCTTCTCTCTGTGTTTTCACATGGCGGAAGTGGCTAGGGATCTCTCTGGGGCCTCTTTTACAAGGGCAGTAATCCCATTCATGAGGACGACTTAATCACTTCCTAAAAAGCCACCTCTAAATACCATCGCATTGGGAATTAGTTTTCAACATATTAATTTTGAGAGGGCACAATCTGTAGTAAAAAGCCTTTATATATTATCACCTTAGAAGCATGCCAAGCTAGTAGAGCTGGCCTGGATTCTGACCTATGCTAAAGTCCATGTAAGCACTTAACTGTCATCTACATGTTGCACCAAATACATAATTGCTGAATGTATAAATGAATGACTGAATTTTATGGGTAAAAGTTTTTTTCAATGAAAAAGTCATCTAGAAGAGGCAGTTCCTTCAAATAGGCCTACAGTTGGGTAAAGTCTGTCAAGTGCCTGTCTCCATAATTGCATTTAGCAAGATTCCCAGTGTTCATCAAGTATTAGTGGGTAGATTTACACTCTTCAAACTTATTTTTAAGTCTGACATGTTCCATTATTAAGTTACAGGGCATGGGGACCTGTCATCTGCTTAATCCTGCCACTGGGCAGTTCTGCCATGGAGACCAAATCAAAAATCAGAGGGTATGCTGGCTGAGCCAACAATAATTTCAATTTGGAAAGAACTGGTATGCAATTTCTTCCTGACCCTTAAAATTTCTTTTTAGGTATTGCTGGATGCTGTGCCAAAACAACAGTTGCTCCTTTGGATCGAGTGAAGGTTTTATTACAAGCTCACAATCACCATTACAAACATTTAGGTGAGTAGTGGACGCTAAAGATAAAATGAATGGAAACATTATCTATCTGCTAGCTTAGTTATGAATTATGATGAAAAGAGGACACAAAAGTGAGTTCAAGGTCGGGGGCAGATTTTGCAAGGCATATACCTCTTATCCATTTTAATCTCTTCATTTGCCATAGTGGTTATATATATTATCATTTTTAGGGTATACTGATATTCTCTAAACCAAAATCTTAGGAATCACTGAAGTAAGTACTATTTGTTTATTGAGATTAATTAGTCACATCCTTTACAGACATGCATAATGCTCAGGCTGATTTTTTAAAAATCCAATTAGTGATGGAGATAAGGTTTATTCCTTTAAATACTTAGTTAAACAAGCCTTCTAGAAATCTTAGGGCAAACAGAATGCAATTAGTATGTATGGATAAATGTGCATTGCTAAAGAAAAAACTCTAAGTTGTTCCTTACAAACATAAAAATCAGCCATTTGATTAACATGGACACTCCAGTAATAGATCATTGGTGGGAGTAAGAATTTTTTATAGCCTTTTGGAGGGCATTTTGGTATTATGCATCAAAAGTCTTAAGAAGATACTCTTAGGCCTTCCAATTCTACTTCTAGGAGATTAGTTTAAGGAATTCATCACAAATGTGCTCAAAGATATATATAAAAGGATCAAAACATTATTTATGTTAGTAAGGGAAATGAACAACCTAAATGTTCAATAATAGGGAATTGGCTAAATTAAATAATAAGCATTACTTAAGTACATAAATAAATTCATATTATAGGCTGTTTTGCAATCATAAAAAGTTGTGGAAGAATATTAATTGACTAGCAAAAATGTTCATAATGTATTAGTTAAATGAAAAAATATTACAAAATGGTTTAATTATATTGCCTTTTATATAAATAAATGTGCTTGGACAAAAGGCTGGAAGGATAAATATTAAGTGATTAATTTTCTTTTTTTATATATATATTTTTAAATTTTTAAAATTAAGGCATTATTGATATCCACTCTTATGAAGGTTTCACTTGAAAAACAATGTGGTTGCTACATTCACCCATATTATCGAGTCCCTCCCCATACCCCATTGCAGTCACTGCCATCAGTGTAGTAAGATGCTGCAGAGTCTAAGTGGTTAATTTTCAGTGGTGATATTATAGGAAATTTTTTCCCTCTAAGCTGATTTGTAATACATGTTGAACACATATTACTTTTTCACTTAGAGAAAAAGATTTAAAAGAAAAAAAAATTAATGTGGACAGAGACCAAGAAAGAAATTAGGTCATGCCAACTAACTTATGCTACTACATTGCTTTACAGTTTCATGCTTTGATAGATAGGAGTTGATATGTGCTCTGCATGATCTATGTAGCATCAGTGTATAAGAAAGATGTTCAACAGAGTGAATAAAAATCAGTTATTTTCCAATTGTGTTTTAAAATGTGATTTTTTTTCAAAAAAATGGAATGGATATGTTTATGTTATATATTAATTGTAGCTCATATTCTTGTCAATATTTTTAAATCTAGGTCCATACTTACAATTGAAAGAAGAGAATTGTTACCACTTCTGTGTCTAGCAATGAATTCTGTGTCTTCACAGTGTACTGCTCATATAAAGAAAGAATCAGACCTTCGAACTTATTGAGGCATTATATAAAACTGGAAAGTAAAGGAATGATTTTGTTTTGTTGTCCAAATTGAGGGTGGAAAGGAGGTAGATTATATTACCTAATATCTTTGGGTATTTTACAGTGACCCAGCATGTGAATGTCTGAGTGGGATTGTTTTATTCCTTTAACTTCCTCCCCATACTGATGTATATTGCTTTGTTTCCTGATATGTAATCACTAGATTACAAATTTACATTAGATTTCACACTCTACAGGGCTGCATGCCATGGGTTATATAGTGTACCCTACAAGGCATGCAGAATTTGAAATGGAATTCCTGGAGTGCAACAATGAACTCCTGGTGTAGTATTTAGAGATTCATGTGTCTTTAAAATAGTCAAGCCAAAATAAAAAAAGAGAAAGAAAAAAATGCAGTTATTGGTGGCTTTTTAGTTTCTTTTAAAATGTTTTTGGGCAGTTTATTCTAGGTACCTTCCTTATATGCTTGCATAAGATAGTTTTTGTGTCTGTGTGTGTATATCTTTATCCTTTATTATATATATTTTATTTTTTATTGGAATAAAGTTGATACACAATATTATATTGGTTTCAGATGTACAACATAGTGACTTGAAATTACATACATTTCTAGATGCTTGTCACAGTACGTGTAGTTCCCCTGTTACCATACCAAGATATTACAAAATTATTGGTTATATTCTATAGGTTTATGGGTTATATGCTGTATAACCTTCTATATTCTATAGGTTTATAGAATATGACCTTCCATTCCTATGACGAACTTTTTACAATTTGTAGATTATACCTCTTTATCCCCTTCACCCTTTTCCATCCATTTCCCCACCCCCTTAAGATAGTTTTTAACGTTTTGCTTTTTTAAACATGAATTTTCACAGTCAAAGATGACTAAGATGTGCTATTGGATAAAACTTCTACTTTATGTTCTTCTGAAAAATGTATGATGTTACTTCCAAGGCATCAAAAACTATTTTTTGTTTTGAATCAAAATTATTATGGCCAAATGAACAGAGTATAATTAGAATTTCTTCTCCCAATTTGCAATGTTAGTATAAATCATTTTTTCCTGTTATATATTGAGAACCTTGACCTCCGTTTAGCTTTTTATAGTCAAATTTGGTATGAAAATAGGTACATGAATGTAAATTATTTTTCCTGTAATAGATTGAAAACCTTGACCTCCATTTAGCTTTTTATAGTCAGATGTGATATAAAAATAGGTAGATGAATTATAGTAGGATTCTTTTTAAAATCTTTTAACTTTATTGCTTTTACATTTTATTTATTTCTAGTTTTTTAAATATGTATTTTCACAAGCTCATTATTCAGAAAAGTATGAAAGCAAATTTCTTTCTCCTTTCCTTACTCCCTTCCTAGAATCAAACATTTTTACAAGTTTCTTTCATTTCTTTTCAGAGCTAATGTATGCATACACAATCATATGCTTATATTTTACCAAATGTTAGTTCCTTCTAATCCTAGCTTGATAAAATAAGATACAGAGAAGGATTTAAAGAACACACAAATTTGATATAACAGAAACATAGGAAACTTTGCACCCTACAGAGAATACATATTCTTTCCAAACAAACTTACATGTGCAGAAATTAGTCCAGTGTGATGCCGTGAAGAAAATCTTAATTCATTTCCCAAAGTAAAAGTAGTATATAGACTATAGGTTGAAAAACAATATAATTATCTCAGTTGGTATTTAAAGGCCATTTGAAAACATTCAAAATTCATTATTCAACTGTTTGTCTTTCTCTTATTTTTTTTAGGTGAGATTTTTGTAAAGCCTTGTGTTAGATATGGCCTTTTAACAGAAGTTGAGAATCTTTGGCTTTTAAAAGAGAAATTTATGTCATTTAGATTTTTTTGCAATTGATAATTTTTCACCCACCATCTTAATGTTTTATGTTTTCTGTGCTTTCTTGTATTGTCCTCCAGCCCCCACCATTGCACTTTGTTTCCTGGATTTCCTTTTTTTGAAAGTACTATGTTTTACTTCTAATGGTTTCTCTTAAAACATCTTTAACAAAATATTTGTGATAATCCTACATACTTCTTCATCATCAGTCTTTCTGTCCCCACTAGGTGGTCATTGTTCTAAATTTAATTACCCTTAAATTGTTACAAACACATTTGAATCAAATTAAACAAGGCTTAATCATTGTGCCCTCCCCCAGCAAGAAGATGTCTATAATAGAATTTTTTTTGGGGGGGGGGATATATTTAGTTATATTATTCATATATTTTGGGAGAACTTTACATGTTATACACATAGCTAAATATATAGAATAGAATTATTTTTAATAGACTGTTAGTTCATTTAGATATCTACTTATTAAAAATGATTTTAGTATATATCTTTTCTTGGATGTTAGTAAGTACCTATGATTTTAATTTCTAGGAGGGGATCAGATGGTTACTTGCATTCTAAAATTCAAAATGAGCCTAGTGGTTTATTTTCATATTTGATCAAATTTTGTTTGCAAAATTTGGAACCTGAATTTAAATAGTTTAATAATGGTAGTAGTAATATGTTAATGAGAAGTCTGTACTGCAAATAGGGTGAGTAACTGACATTAATAGAATAATAAATATGTCACTATAGAGGATCAGAGCTCAGGGCTTTGCTTATCAGTATTTCTAATTAAAGTGTCCTAATAGTAAGAATTTGTCTTCAGATTTGCATAGTTGTAATAGATACGTAGTTTATTCATTTATTTACTTTATTTAGCAGTTTCCTTATGTAAACAAACTGTACATGTATCTGGGTCAGTCTGGGAAACCTTACTTCATCTTTCCAGATAGAGTCTATCATTTGCAGTGTAATACCTGGAGCTTGAATACATTTATGTTAATATTTCTTAGACTGCTATAGTTTAATAAAATCTGTGATAACTATAAATATAATTTATTTACTTATAATTTGCATCTGTTTTACTATTTTTCATATTTTTAGATGAGGTATATTTATATAATTTGGACTTACAATGTATTTAAAGTAGGTTTAACAGTTATTCAGAAATTACTGTTCATGTAACTTCTCAAGCAAAATTATATCATGAATGATGGCATAGTAATCTTTATCTGTGATTGTCACGAAAACTTGAATTAGATAGTGTTTTCTATTTCAATAATATTTTTCTTCTAAAAATCTTTCTGAAAATAGGAGTATTTTCTACATTGTGTGCTGTTCCCCAAAAGGAGGGATACCTTGGATTGTATAAAGGGAATGGTGCAATGATGATTCGAATCTTTCCCTATGGTGCAATCCAGTTTATGGCATTTGAGCATTATAAAACGGTACTTGAATTTTCATCTTTTTTTCTTCTTTTGTGTCCTTGAATATAATATCATACTTAGTTGATGAGGCATTTGCTTTGTACTTTAAAGTTACTTTGGATGAATGGATATGTTTTTAAAGGACTAAGATTTGTGATAGTTAAAAAATTTTAAATATAACTTAGTTTTGGAGTTATCCAGAGTTGTTAGTCATTTTTGAGTAAATTGTTTATGTTCACACTTACAAAAAAGAGCTGAAGTATCTTTCAAAAAGGTGATAATAAATCCATAAAATATTAATAGCTTTTTAATATGCTTTTTCTCTGTTGGAGAAGAATACTGTGGCTTCAGATTTTCTTATTAAATAAAATAGTGAAATCATCTTGTGAAAGTCTGGTTCTGAGTAATACTATAAGTTAAAAGCTTTTCCCTTCCTACTCTTTGATGTTTTCTTTTCTGGCTACCAAAAATTTATCCTCTCAAATATCTTAACACAGAAAGTGGTTAAGTATTTTAAATTACACATGGTATTTTAAAATGAAAAGCAAGCAGTAGAGATGAGAACAATATTCTAAGCTAGTCAGATATAATTGATGCCATCAGTATACGAAGACTTCATTGATTTTTCTTGCTACTCCTATTCACGCTTTAAGTATTTGTGGTCATCAATGTGTACTATAGTTTATTTGGCAATTCTAATGTAGATTCCTTCTGTAAATGCAAAATTAGAGCAGATGCTATAGAGGAAATACCTGATTTTCTTACGATGGGATAGAATACTGCCCAACTTTATGCAATTGTGCTCATTTCATTCATATTAAATACTAATTTAATTCTTATCAGCCCTGTAACTCTTTTGCAATAAGTCTTCATTATTAGACAGTCAAATGGGCAGTATTTAAAAAATATCTCATTTAACTTGATGCTTTTGGTTTCTAGTTAATTACCACAAAGCTGGGAATTTCTGGTCATGTGCACAGATTAATGGCTGGATCCATGGCAGGTAAGAGGAATGGGTATATTTTATTTCTGACAAATTATATTTTCAATTAAAATACTTAATTTGGTTTAGGTAATATGTGTCACATGATTAAGCAGCACACATCTGTTATCTTTCTATACTCAGTTGTACAAGAAACCATTAGTATACCAACTCAAAAAGAGTAGAAGGTAAGGAGAAGGAGTTAGGTAACTTATAAGTATGTGAAAAACATGTATTCCCTTTGAAAGTTCTACTTCTGGAGATGTTTATTTTTCTCTTTCAAACATGAAAGCAACACTAAAGCAACCCTAACGCAAACACTATTAGCAGTTTATTATGTATGCTTTCTTTCTAATACTATTCCGTCAGGATAGAACTTTTCTTTTACAATTATCTCAAGACTTTTCTATATCAGTGCACAGATCTTTCCTATCTTTTTAAAGACCTGTGTTATATATATACTAAGGTATAACTATACCATGACTTATTTAATCAGACCCTTATTGCTTAACATTATGGGTATTTTCAGTTTTTGTTTCACAAATAACGCATTATACTTGCATGACAATATCTGTAGAATAAATATTGATCATTTGTATTTCTTTTACTTTCAGCCTTGAGTTGTTCCTATTTTTTTTAATTATCTACCAAAGGATATGTGTATTTAAATTTTGATAGATCTTGCCAAACTGATCTCCATAATGCTTTCAGTGGCCTTTCCCCGTAAATACAATACCAACACTAGGTCATATCGGATTTTTAATATTTGGCAGTTAATTAAATAAGGCTGACCAGCTTTTTGCAACTTTTACTGATCATTTGTATTTCTTTTACTTTCAGCCTTGAGTTGTTCCTATTTTTTTTAATTATCTACCAAAGGATATGTGTATTTAAATTTTGATAGATCTTGCC